ACTGATGGGTAGATAATACACGGATAGAGAATGCTGGATTGACTGATCGGTAGATAATTCACGGATAGAGAATGCCGGATTGACTGATCGGTAGATAATGGACGATAGCCCCAGAGGACCAAGACTGCAGAAGAGCCCAGTGTCTTGGGCCGATGCACCTGCCAACTCCACTACCTCACTCTGTCTCCCCAATTCTGTGACCAAAGTATGAGTCACTTACAATATAATCTGATGAAATAACCTTTGTTGGTGCTGTGGACTAACTGTGCTCCCAGTTAGATGGATGGATGAGTGGACGGACAGACAGACAGAGATAAATAAATGGATAAATAGATAATGGATTGATAGAGAGACAGCCAGGCAGATTAAAAAGCGTGGCAGTTCAAGCATGGTGGCACATGTCTTTAATCCCAGCACTTAGGAGGTAGAGGCAGGAGGATCTCTGTGAGTTCAAGGAGTCTACATATCGAGTTCCAAGCCAGCCAAGGCTACATAGTAAGACCACGTCTCAAAATAGACAGACAACAAACTGGCAGCTTTGTTGGGAAATGTGCTCTTATCCTACAGTGCCCTGGGAAATCCTGCTGCAGGCTGTTGTCAAACCTGTCTGGGCAGCAACCTGAGATTCCCCTCTCCCTCGGGCATTGCTCTTAGGTACCGTGGACTCTGTAGATGGTCTTGTCCTTGGCCACGTGGTGTGCTTTCTCGGCAGGTGATTTCACAATGTAGCCCAGCCCAGAAAGGAAAGCAGGGGGATGGGCTGCATTAGCCGCTTACAGCATGTCTGCTTTTTTAGACCACTTAGCGAAAGGCTTACTACTTCTGAGCTCATCTCTTTGTTTCATGACACTTGACCCAAGTGTCTTCCCATACATACCTCGGGAGTCATCAGTGAGCATCCTTCCCAGGGAGACAGGGTGGTACACAGGTGGTACACGGGTGGTGCACAGGTGTAGCCCAGCTGGTGTAGACTTAGCAGCCTTCTGCCTCAGTTTCCCAAGTGCTGGAACTCTAGATATACACCCTACACCCAGCCAGCAATGCATTCAAAATTCTTATAGTGATTCCCAGGGCCACTCTTATCCCTGCATAATTAAACCAAAAAATGTTAGAGAAATGTCCTCAAGTTTTTGCAGAATTCTTCGGAACCTTAACTTAGTATAGAACAATTTTTATCGGTTGGTGTAATTGGATTTAATGTGACAGCCCACTTCCACAAGCTTGCAGCCCGTGGCTGGAGTGCGTGCTTGCCCAACACACAGGAGTAACTGGGGTCAGTCTTTCACATGAACCAGACGTGATGGCCCACACCTGTTATCCCAGCATGTCAAGGTAGCAGCAGGAGTTCATGATCAGCTTTGACTGCATGGGGAATTCAAGGTTAGCTTGGACTACATAAGACACTGTCACACACAGACATGCACGCACGCACGCACATGCATACATCAAAAGTCCCTTTGTTTATAATGCACATAATCAGCTGGAATCTCAGACTTCGCCTTCCTGAGCCTTCGGACGCCTTCCTTTCCCGCAGCATCGCCTCTGCCTGCTGCTCTCTGAAGTGGGCCACCTCTCTTCTCTTAAAAAATGAACTTATACATGCATACACTTGTGTATGTACTGTGTATTTCTTGTATGTGCGCATGTGTGCCTGTGCACTTGTGTGCTGTGCCTGTGAGTGGAGGTCAGAGGACACTGGGGGCAGCCAGGCTTCTCCTCCCACAGTGCGGGGTCTGGGGATTGAGTTCAGAGACAGGCTTGGCAGCAAGTGCATTTACCTTCTCCGGGCACTCCGGCTTCATTCCTCACCTGGCCCGTGACCAGAGCCTCTCCATCCCATACCTGGTGCACAGAAGAAGGGATACCCTCCTTCATGAGGGACTCCGCCCTCGGCCTCAGGGAGCAAAGGTTGAGGAATCCTAGCAGACCGGTCTCTATCGACTACTGTCCTGTCCATGTTTCCACACTTCCTGGTAGCTGGGGACAGGAGGTTCCAGGCTGGTGGCACTGAAGGCATGAGGCCACCGCTGAGCTTGCTCTGTGTGTAGCTCCATCGTCTGTCACAAACCGAGGTGCGTTCCTATGAGTTCTGTGAGCCATTCAGGCAGATTTGTCGAAGAACCCACAAAGTGGACTGTGGGGACCCAGGTTCACAGGCCCTCGGCCAGAAGCACAGATAGGACTCGGGGGCTGCTGCTTTCTGGAGGTGAGGGGGCATTTTGGGGACCACGCCTGTGATCTGTGGGAGCTAACGTCATCTCTAGGAGTGGAAACTTGAACTAAATCCAGGGTCCCAGGGTGATGTGGGCTGAGGCTTGCTTGCTTGTAGTGTGGGGAGGGACCCTGCTTGCCTGGGCCAGAAGGGGCTCCTGTGGGCCGTGTGTGTGTGTGTGTGTGTGTGTGTGTGTGTGTGTGTGCCAGTGAGCAGAGCTGTCTCCGTATCAGTGGGGTCACCTTTAGTTTTGATTTCAGATTCTCTCATAATTGGACAGAGCTAGGCTCCCTCAACGAACCAGACCCACATAGCTTAACTGGGTCTGACACGCTTATCAGGAGCCCACCGTCCTGAGTGTAGACTGCAGTGAAGATTTTAAGTAGATTATACACCGTGCTGCTGTCAAAGCCATTGTTATCTCGCACTTCCGTGGCCAGTGTGTGACTTCTTCATGTGCTCCCCGGCGCCTGGCATTTGCCTCGTGTGTGTGTGTGTGTGTGCAGGGGGTGAGGGGAGGAAGAGAGAGTTATAGTGTGTATTTGTGTATGTATGACGTAGTGTATATTTGTGTGTAATTGCATGTTTGTATGTGTGGGCACATGTGTGTATAGGTGCTCTTGCACATATGTGCACGTTCATGTGGAGGCCCCAGGTAGATGTAAGGTGTCATCCTCTGTTGCTCTTCCATCTTCTTTATTGAGGGAGGTCTCTCGGTCAAACCCAGAGCTCACTGATACTGCTAGTCTTACTAGCCAGCTTGCTCTGGGATCCCCTGCCTTCCTTTGCCCCTGAGCCTGAGGTCTCCCCACCCCTTATTTGCCATTGTATTCTAGCTATTCTATTTGTATATATAGTGTCTCATTATCATCTTTGAACAAGGATTTTTTTCAATTGTGTTAAGATACACACAACATTTGTCAATGAACACTTTTAAAGAATATCATTCTGTACTGCCCCCGCCCCCAACCTTAAACTGGCAGTTCTGAGGGTTGAACCTAAGGCCTCACGGATGCTAGGCAAACACTCTACCATTGAGCTACAGCCTCAACCCTTAATTTTGTGCCATTCGTGCCTTTAAAATGCTGCACACCCACCACTGCCTGGTTGCTGGACATTTTCATCACCCATAACCAGCCATGCATCACCTCTCACCTAGCGGCAGGATGGCATCCAGGGAAATGCATCAATAGCCGGTTGCATCGATGCATGGGCATTTCCAGGGCATGCTTGCCCACACTGAGGCAGCCACGTCACCAGCATGAGACCATCTGCTTTGCTCTGGGCATTTTGGAGGAGGCTTTCGTCAGGTCCCTCCTCCTTCCCTTTGCTCTGCTCTGTGGCACAACAAATTAGCATGCGCCGTGCCACACTCAGTTGCCCAAGGTCGACCTTTAGCCTCACACTGGAGAACCTGTTTCTAAATGTGACTGAGTGGGTGGACTGACGTCTCAGCTCAGTCGCTTGGCAGGGGTACGTATCTTAGGCCTCCTGAGTGAGGGCCTGTGTGTGGTGTGTGTGTGTGTGTGTGTGTGTGTGTGTATGTGTGTGTTGGAGGTGGGGGGCAGATCTGCACACCCAAACTAAGGCCACTGTTGTGGTGTGTGTGTGTGTGTGTGTGTGGTGTGTGTGTGTGTGTGTGTGTGTTGGAGGTGGGGGGCAGACCCGCACACCCAAACTGAGGCCACTGTTGTGGTGTGTGTGTGTGTGTGTGTGTGTGTGTGTTGGAGGTGGGGGGCAGATCCGCACACCCAAACTGAGGCCACTGTTGTGGTGTGTGTGTGTGTGTGTGTGTGTGTGTGTGTGTGTGTGTTGGAGGTGGGGGGCAGATCCGCACACCCAAACTGAGGCCACTGTTGTGGTGTGTGTGTGTGTGTGTGTGTGTGTGTGTTGGAGGTGGGGGGCAGATCCGCACACCCAAACTGAGGCCACTGTTGTGGTGTGTGTGTGTGTGTGTGTGTGTGTGTGTGTGTGTGTGTGTTGGAGGTGGGGGGCAGATCCGCACACCCAAACTGAGGCCACTGTTGTTGTTTTGAATACTGAGTTTGGGCGCTTCATGCTGCAGCCGTTCTAGAGAATTCTCCAGCATCATCTGTTTATCTACAGCCGAGCTTTGTTGGCCTTTACTACACGTCTGTCTATCCTGTGATCTGGCGACTTCTGGCTACTGAGAGCACAGAGTGCCTCAGACACGGAGTCCTGCCTTCTGTGGTAGCTGCTCGGCCCACAGCACGCCCAGCACCCTGGGGCTCTGAGGCCTTGCTCCCCCTTTTGTCCACTCTTGTTTCCTAGCCTACAGCATGTGCTTCTCAGTCTCCTGCACTTTCGGTGGTCCATTAGCGTCTGTGCTGTGCGCTCTCGCCACGGGTCCAGCAGAGCCTTGCAGACGCCACTCAGACGGCGTAGGAGCCAGTGTCTGGAAGGCTGTGCTCAAGGCCAGTGTTTGGCTACTGTTTTGCTGTGTGGTAGCACAGCCTTTCTGGGCTGTTTTCTGTCACTGACTGATGTGATCGAAACAGCAATGGCTCTGATAGCCCCTGTAATCTGTGGAGTCACCACGTCTGTGCTATAGAAGATACATGCCTGTGGCCTTAGTGTGTGATCCCGGGACCCCAGAGCCAGGCATGGGAGATGGTGTGTCCCAGGCTAACCTGTGCTATGTTACATAAGGAGGTCTGTCTTCACAACAGGCAAACATAAATGGTTGAGACAGAGTTCCCCAAAGAAGCTTAGGCAAGTTTCCAAAGGATCCCGAGATAAGAATGTTCTAGGTCATCAGATATCGATTGCAAAGTCACAGCACAGCAGTTCCTGCGCTGCATGGGTCGTGTGTGTCTTTGGGTCTGCATCCTTCATCCTGTTGTGTCAAGAAAGTGCAGTGGTTTCCAGGTCTGTGCAGGGGTGAGGAACCCAGTGGGGCCGGTCACAGTCGCTGCTGAGGGTGACAGGCCACGGAGAGGGCTGCTGCCTCTAGTCAGCTCCTCCTGGGACTGCACCTGGGGCCAGGCTGGCCAAAGGGAAACTTGGTGGGTAAGCAGTGGAGTGGGGAGGGGCTGGGAGGAAAGACCGGCACAGACAGGAGCCTGCAGTTTGGTCCTGTTTGATGGGTGGCTCTTTTCTTGGCCCTTGCTCGTCACTGTTAGTGTAGCCATGACGTGCTCCCAAGGCCTGCAGCGACATGCAGGGTGGCAGCTCCCGCATATGGAATGGTTTCATTTGGCCCTTGGAGACTTAAAATGTGTAAATTAGTCTAGCACTTAGAAATCAAGGGACTTGAGGGCTGGCGAGCTGGCTCATTGGGCACCCACCTGACACCAAGCCTGAGGACAAGTTTGATCACCATGACCCATGTGGTAGAGGGGATTCCCACACATGTGCACTGTGGCATGTATGTGATTATATTTATTTTGTATTAAAAAAACTCAGATCCGGAGTCTCAACAGAAGTCAGCATTTGGAGGACAGAGAAGGACTGTGGGTGGTGGCTGCCCCAGAGGCGCTCTGTAAGCCTGCGGCCTGTCTGGAGCTGCTCAGGGAGGTTTCTGGGGACAGAGAGCAACTTCCTCATGCTGCTGTTGTACAGATAGGGAAACCGAGTCCGGACAATGAAGATGAAGAGTGGATGGGGTTACAAGGCAGAGTGTGGACAGACCAGGGCTGGAGCCCCTTTCCCCAGACAGTTTTACCCACATCTACAGGATTACATAAAGCTGTTTTCCTGTAGTTATCCCTGTACCCCTAAGACCCCCTTCTCAGTCTTCCCACCTCCACCCACCAGCTTTGTCCTTTACAGTGCAGGGTCTGGACAGCTCTCGTTGGAGTTTGTGTCACCTGTGCCTCTCCAGTGTAAGGATCTGCACAGAATCGAGGAGGAGAAAACGGGCGCAGACGCGTGGCATCGCCTCCCCGAGGCTCCCTTAACTCGTTTTGTGAGGTCGTCTCCAGTGGCATTGCTTCCTGCAGATGGCATGACGTCATCCTCCCTTATGACTGTGCATAGAAAGTGCACTTTCCGTGTCCAGTCCTCTGATACTGGGCAGCTGGGCTGGTCCCCTAGCTCAGCTATCGTGAATGGTGCCGCAGTTGACACTGGTGTGCGAGGGTCTCTGGGGTGTTCAGGAGTGGTCGAAGCTGGTCATATGGTGTGTGTGTGTGTGTGTGTGTGTGTGTGTGTGTGACCCCCGGACTGTATTCTTGAAGCCCTGCTATAGGCTGGCTGTCCAGCAGGTGGCAGTGTGGTACTGACTTCCTCCCCTTTGTTCTCCCTGATTTCTTCCTGCTCTCCTGACTTCCTGTTTTGCCCTCTTTTATCCCTTCCTTCCCTGATGCTTCCCCATGCCTGCAGATCTGTGGAGTGGTCAGAAGTGTTTGTGTACCTTGCCCCCGACAGCTGCGCAGCTGTCACCCTCAGTTCCTGCCTGGTACAGAAGCAGCGGGCCCCAAACCCTGGAGATGGACCCCTTCTCCTTCTGGGGGTGGCCACCTCAGAGCAGTTAGTGATGTGCCCTGCAGAGAAGGAGCTCCCCTTCCTGGAGAGCCTGACTTTTGCTTTGTTTTGTTTTGTTTTTTGAGATGGGGTTTCTATGTGTAACAGGCCTGGCTGTTTTGAAAAATACTTTGTAGTTCAGGCTGGCCTTAAACTCACAGAGATCCGTCTGCCTCTGTCTCCCAAGTACTGGGATTAAAGGTGGGCGCCACCACTGCCCAGTTATAAGAACCTGACTTCCAAGTTTCTCTGAGTTTTAAATTTGAATGCTAATTTAGAACCATGGTCCCTGCTGTAAGAGAGAGGCACCTGGTAGGTCACCTCAGCACAGAGCAGATCCCTGGGTGGAGGGGCCTCCGTGAAGCCCCTATGGTTCTGAGTCCCTGGGAATGGAGAGACCCACCTCTGTAGACTGAGATTGCTGGGGTGCCCTGCACCCTTTTCTCTCTCAAGCAGCTCTGAGGGGTGCCTTTATCTTAGAAAGTGGGTCACTCTGGGCCTTAGGGCTTGGGGACACCCTTAGGACCCTGGTAGTAGATATCCAGGCAGCATAATGTCAGCATTTCCCTGAGATTCAGGGCACTTCCACTGCCCTGTGACACTCTCTTTTGTCCTAGACAGAGAGCTGGGAACCTCTTCAGCGATGGCTGCATCTCCCACATGTTGGAGCTGGCGCTTCATCCTGGGCCGACTGGTGGGTGATGAGGCCTGCCACACCAGCTGCCCTGGGTTCTCTTTGTTTATCTGAATACTTCCAAGCCTTTTCAGTTTTGAAGTGATGTCCTCTGGGCCTGGTTTGAGATAGGGCTGTGACTTGAGCCCTTTTTCCTGAGCAGCTTTTGGCTAATGGGGGAGGGGATACAGAGAAGCCCTGCCTGGAATTGTATAATTGTGTATGTGCTGAGTACTGTGGGAGCCTGGGGGAATCGGTCAGGCAGGACTTCGCAAGTATAAACTGACATTTGAGTGACATTATAAACTGACATTTAGTGACAGTCGTATGGGCAGTGAACATTCTAGAGGTGTCTAAAATAGCCGATTAAAAAAAGGTGCGTGTGTGTGCATGTGTGTGTGTGTGTGTGTGTGTGTGTGTGTGTGTGTGTGCGCGCGCATTAGTGTGCGTGTGTTGGGGTGGGAAACCCTGGCGAATGACAAGAGGTTGGCGTGTCTCACCTGAAGGGAAGCTAGAGAAAGCAGGGACTGAACTGGGAAGGGTGGTTCAGGTGTGGGCTCGGCTGCTTTCTTGGAGGCAGAGCTGTTTGTAGATCGTGTCCCGTAAGGCAGTCCGTCATGTGCTTCTCTCTTAAGTCCACATGGACAGTGCCATGTGAGCTCTTCTCATCCTGTCCAGGCACGCAGGGCAGCTGTGACCATGCCCTTGGCATTGCCTGTGTGGCTAAAGATGGCTAGCACCTGCACCTGGGCAGGTGGCAAAGACATAGCTTGGGAGTCTTGTCCATGTGCCTAACAATCCCTCCTTGGCCCATGGTGGAGCCCTCCGCCCGTCTCTTGGTGTGATGTCACGGGAAATCCCAGGTTTCATGCGTGTGCTTCCAGAGGTAGGCAGTGGTGGCGGAAGAATCTCCTGTTAGCTGCTGAGGCTTCTAGACTGGACCTGCCACCTGCTTAATCTCCTGACCTTGACTCCCAAGGTCATCCACGCTCCTGGGAATCTCAGCTTCCTCACCTATGAAGCTGAGCAAATAATACCTTGTCCTCACTTTCCAGGTAGGACAGTCTGCGCGTACCTGGCCGTGGGTGTCAAGTGTTGGCAACACTCCTGTGGATGTTTTCTGTGTCCCTCCATGCATGTATAGGTGCATGCGTGTGTGAAAATGTGTGT